GGGAGGGGTGTGTATTTAGATAAAAAAGGGTGGGATGAGGAGGCTGGTGATTAGAGCTTATTTCCCAGCCTCTCTATGCTTGACTGAGATCCAAGGGCAGAGAGAGATGGGGAGGGCAAAGTGGGTGGGGTAGGAACGGCAGCTTATCCCTTCAGGCTTCCCACACTAATTCTCTTGGAGGTCAATTTTCTATAAAATGCTATTTGCTTCCTAAACTGTGAGGTTATTTTACCTTTTGTCTTGTGCCACATTACAATTTTGCTTTCTAGGCAAGTATGGAAGTTCTGGGGAATTCACAGAAGCTTACTATTGGAGACACCTGGAGAGCCTCCTAAGAATGGCCCAGCTAGACTTATAGTGCAGGCAGGGGCCTAGGAACCCAGGCTGGGGCCTCTTCAGAGAAAATCACTCAGCCCAAGTTTGAGAGGATGGGGGCGGGGGCAGCAAAACCTGGCAGTACTAGGACCATTGCTGCCACCTGCACCAGGTGCTTCCCCAGTGCTAACGCATGTGTGGGCTGCTTAGAGTGTCTCATGCAACTAGTTATAGCATGTTAGATATTTGGGCTCTGTACTAGGCACAGTCATGCATTAACCTCATTCTCAAACCACTTTTTGATGCAGGTGTTGTTATCTGTTATCATCAGCTTACTAGATGAGGACTGAGTATCAGAGATCTGCCCAAGGTGACCTCTGGTACAAGTCTCGGGGCCAGGATTTGAGTTCTTGCTAATAACCCCTCCTCCCCTAAACATGCTTTCCAATGCCAGGCACTTAGGATATGAAGATAAGATTTGAAGTTTCTGTCTTAGCTCAGGTCTTCTGGGAAGCAGAAGTATAAGGGATTGATGGATGGAAATGCCCACAGAGGACTCAGGAGAGATGGAACCAGAGAAGGTGGGGAGAGCCTTTGGAATGTGGTGCAAGTGGCATCTGTTGAGGGAGTGGGAAAGGACACTCAGGTGAGAAAAGCCTCCCCCTGGAGCGCAGCTCAGAAAAGATCCTGGTCAGGCTGATAGGAAGCCTCAGAGTGAAGACCACTCACAGAGTCCCACACTGGGCAGAAATGGTGGCTTTAGTATCTTCTGTGTCTAGATAGTGGCTGAGGATGTCATGACTTCATAGTGGATCCTGTAGGGCATGACACTGCCCCTTGTAACAGGCTCTTCTCTCAAAGGGAGACCGAGGTGTGTGCTTTCATGGCTAACACAGGCTCTAGCCTTGAGCAGTCACATACTATTTGTCCTCTACTACTGGAGGGTTTGGTGGATGTTTTAAGAACCCTAAAGTAGAATATTCAATGTAGTCTCCTGGATAGAAATTATTTCATTTTCAGTTGAGCAAGTTGTACACTGTACAAATGGACTCTGTCAAGGGGGCTAGTAAGAGAGAGCAGGGGATTGACATGCAGGCACCATCTCAGCCAAGTTGTGAGTTTGCTATTGTGGCTCAAAGAGGCACCTTTTCCCTAATTCAGCTATTCAGAGTCTCATGGTTTGCACAAAAGTAGAGAGTGAAGACTACCAGCAGCCTGTCCTTCCTAGAGAAAAGAGGGATGGGGTTTTCAATGAGTCGGAGTTAGCTGGGGAAGTGGGGGCTGGGAAAAAGTTTTAGGCTTCAGCCCAAAGAAGGTAAGCTGTAAGTCCAAAGAACAGGTAGGGTAGGGGGCAAGGAGTCCAGTTTCCACTGTTTGGGGGCCTAAGATCCCCTGGAAACCACTCAAGGGTTTCAGATGGGAGAGAGACAGCACATGGTCATGTTGATGCTCTGGTTCATTTTGGATATGAAAAAGTCAAGTCCTAAAGATAAAAAGTGTCATTGAGGATATAAAGAAAAGGGAACTCTTGCACACTGTTGGTGGGGATGTAAATGAGTACAGCTGTTTGAAAAAGAGCGTGGAGTTTCCTCAAAAAAATAAGAAAATATCATATAATCCAGCAATTCTACTTCTGGGTATATATCCAAAAGGAATGAAGTCATCTGAGCCATCTTTAGGGTCTAGGTCCTCTGGTGTTGGGGCAGAGGGGTGGGTAAGGGACTGTGCTGAGTCTTTTGATGGATCCTGGACATGACCTTTTGATCCTCTTTAACTGTCACTGCCTCTTGGGCCCAAGGCACCAAGACTGTCCAGGGGGCAACACAGGGTGCATAGTCCAGCATGGGGCTGTGTGTGATTCTTCTGGTATCCTGTGTCCAGAGGGCTCCCATTCCTTCTCCTACCTCCATCAGCATAGTTTTCCTCTTACATAGCCTGGTTGGGGAGCGGGTAGTTGGCTCGATTGCCTTTTGATCTGAGTCCCAGGAAAGGAGGACATTGGTTGTCCCCAAGCATGCTGGCTGTGTTTAAAAGGTGGAGCATTTGACAGTGTGGGTTGTCTCTGTGTCCTCTACTTTGGGCATAATGAAAGTTAGGGGTGTGCACCTTGTCTGGGGGCAGAGCAATGGGAGGGGAGTGGCCTGCAGGTGCACTTGGGATACTCAGTGGCAGAGTGCCTCTCAGCATCATAGAGACGAGTCACCCAGCTACTCCTGCCACTCTGCTTGTCACTGACTGTGAATAGTTCCCCTGAGGATATGCAAAGGGCAAGTGAGTGGGTGTGCAAAGGGATAGTGTGTTGTGATTCACTGTTCCCCCAAAATAGCAGATGGTGACAGGACCCACATGTTCACACTAGTCTCAATGTTAAAAACTATCTTAGATTCTTTTTTTTCCCCCTCTTTTCAATGCTTTATCCACTCATATTATTCAATACAATTCCAATCTATAGGTACTTAATCAAGAAATGACAATTCTTAATGCTGGGCAGTGCAAGAGACATAATCAATTCAAAGCAAACAATTCTAAGTTAATTCTAAGCACTGCAAACACATTTATGATAGGCTCATTATAGACGTTCCCTCTGCATGCTAAGTTCAAGTGCCAGATCTAAAGTCTCAAGTCCTAGTAGTTAAGTCCAACAGATACACACTCACTCAGACCACAGTGATCAGGTCAGGAATGCATAAAGGCTTCTCCTGGGGTGGAGCTGAACGCTGACTGAGGGGAGCGTCCTGAGGAGAAGTCACTGTTCTCAGCAGGGCCAAGATGTGGCTGTAGAGTTTGAGAGCCGTGAGGATGATGCAGAGGATCTGGCAAATGATGAGAAGAGTTGGGATGTCAGTCTGGGTGCTCATCGGGCTTTCAGGCATGTGTGCATCAGTATTGGCTGGCTGAATTCAGTTCATTTGCTCCATCATTTATGCTAAATTCTGGGGCTACTACTGTCCCTTTCAATCCCTATCAGCTGTTACTGGGTTTCTCAATGACATCTTTTATTCTGGGGTCAGGACATCTGGTCTGGTGGTTTCCACCCTAATCCCTCATTTCTGCCTTTATCAGGGTGAAGGCAAATGACAGTGGATTCACTCTGAGTTTTATCAGGGTTGTGAGAGGTGACTTATTTTATCAGGCTATGCTTGATGGCAATATTGGGGAGTTCCATAGGTGTCCCTCGTGGGGAATGCAGTTTTATTTTAAAATGGAGTTACTTAGGCTAAGGCCCTTCTTAGGTTAAGGCCATACTTACAGAATGGCTCCGATTTATCCTAGCAACAACCTCACTATATACCCCCAACTCCTCCTGGTGATCTTGCTGTCAGTATTTCAAATGCACCTCAACAACTTTAAGTCATTTCTATTCTGTCTGGAATATATTTCCTGGCTTTTAGAAATCTCCGGATCCTTCTGGTTCTTCATGAATCAGTACAAATATGAATTCCTTTGAGTTACTTTCTTTGAAGACAAACTGATTTCTGAATATCTCCATTTGGACACTACATACCACAGGCAGTTGCCAATGTGGATCCACTGCAGGCAAATCAGAGAGGGGGATTCAGAAAACCTGCATGTCAGATGGTACCATGGCATGTCTAGAAACAGAGAAATCAGTGATCAAGGACATGGTCGAATTGATCCAGCAGGTGAGCTACAGTAAATTCTTATGTAAAAGCCACTGTGTGGTAGCCTGCTGAGAGCCAAGACAGCTGCCATTATTTCCTACTACATTATGGTCTATCTTGGATTCTTTACTTGACCCGAAAGCCATAATATGCCTTTGAACTAGACCGCATATGATCCTTTAAATGTCGAAAGACATTGGAGAAGCTGAGGGCTTCTCCACAGCAGATGATCTCATAGTCAGGGAAATGCAGAGTTGGGAAGTGAATCTATCCCTTTTGTGTCCATCCTTCCCACCTCCCTGCTCCTCAGCGTGCCTCACCAAACACATGGCCCTTTGTACCTGACCCAGAGGAGAGCAGCTCCCTAAAAGCTTCTTGAGGTATTGCCATCTGAATAAACAACTCCAGCTCCAGGCCTGACTTCTGTAGTACGATGACACTATGTGGCATGGGATCACAACACTTCAGAATGGTCCCTTGAAAGGATGTGAAGCTTCATTCTGTGCCTCATGAAGAAACTTTATGCCCAGTGTACATAAGTATTTGGAGGAAGTTTTTTTTTTTTTTTTCCTCTTAAGAGAAAACACTGCTTCCAGGCTCTCATTTCTGGCCCCAGAAAGGTGGAGAGGTGAGTGGGTGAGTGTAGCCACTGTCAGTCCTTCTGCTGCAGTCATTAAAGCAAGACCCTTATGGCTCTCCACAGAGGTGTGCATGCTAATGGGCATTTGTAATCAATAGATGCTATAATTCTGGTTCATTAATAATCCCTTGCTTATCCAATTAATCAAAATGAGATGTACTGTAGTTTGGAGGAAAGCATGCTCAACTCCAGTCCTGGCAGAAACTGTGTCCAGTCTCACAGCTGGTTGCTCTGAGCCAAGACACTTTTCTGTAGAAGGAAGTGAGTGCTAGCCAGCCTCTGCAGCCCTTCTCCTCCCTTGTCCACACCCCAGATAATGTGGTGGGCTGAGCTGCAGGGTAAGAGGCAGCAATAGGTAGGGGAGGAAGGGGAAGGAGGTGCAGAACCAGCCAGCTTATTATTATTACTGTTTTTTCAACCAGGAATTATCAGCCGAGAAAATGCAGAAGATCTCCTGGAGAACATGACTGAGGGAGCATTTCTGATTCGAGTCAGTGAGAAAATCTGGGGTTACACCCTCTCGTATCGCCTGCAGAAAGGCTTCAAGCACTTTCTCGTGGATGCCTCTGGAGACTTTTACAGCTTTCTGGGAGTGGACCCCAATCGCCATGCCACACTCACGGATCTCATTGATTTTCACAAGGTATCCCTCTTCGGGGTGCTAGTCGGGATATGAAATAGGTGGAAACCTAGGCTGAAGAGAGCTAGAGCAAGTACAGCAAGACTGAAGGCACTAACCCATGGGGCTGCGGAATCTCAGAGACACTCAGAACAACAGGGTAGAAGAGCATAGATGTAGACTAGGCCAGGCTTGGGGGCCCACTTCTCGCTGTTTCATTATATCTTAAGACTCACATGTGCAGCTGTAGCTCTTTTCTCTAGGCCTCTTTTCATGCTGAATAGCCCAGTGCTCCCTACTATCAATACCTAGGGGCTGACTGATGGCACTCTCCGCACACCTATGACTCAGTCTCAGGAGTGCCCTTCTTGAGGACATTCTAGCCAGGCCTCTGGCAGCCTCTAAGAGTTAGCTCAAGCGTAGCAGGCAGTCCTGTGGCAGAACACTCAGTCTCATTTACCTTCGGTGTCCTGGCCAGGTGCCCTGTTTCATTTTGCACTGTCATCACAGAATGCCACGAACTAGGTAATTTATAAAGAATGGAAATTTGCTTCTCACCATTTTGGAGGATGGGAAGTCCAGGACTGAGGGGCCAGTATCTGGTGAATGTCTTTTTATGGCATCATCCCATGGTGGAAAGTGGAAAGGCAAGAGAGAATGAGGCAGTGAGAGAAGAGGGGGCGAAACTCATGTTTTTTTTTCTTTCTTTTTTTTTCCTATAAATACAGAAATGGCTCCTGAAATAAAGGCACTAATTCACTCATGAAGGCAGAGCCTTTTACTAGTCCCACCTCTTAATAGCATCACAAAGACAATTAAGTTTTCAACACATGATTTTCAGGAGGAAACATTCAAACCACAACACCAGGCATATGGATGTAAATAGTCTTAGCTGGGATCTTGTGAGCCTTAAATTAGATCATGTACACAACTGTGTTCTGTAACTGGGGTTATGGAAGTCTCTGTGTCCCATCACTCTTCTTGTGATTCGTCCCCCTGCCACAGACCCACATTGAGAAAGGTGTCTTTCAAACAATGCATGTAGTGAGAAGCCACTCTTATGTTACGTGGCTGTTGGCATCAGTAGTAACTGAGAGAAAGGCAGAGGTGGAAGTCAGTGGCCTGGAAGGGCAGGATAGAGAGATTCTGAGAGCTGAGTGGTAGAAGCTCAGGGCTTCAACATCTCCCTGATGTTGAGCTTCCCAGGCTTAGAAGGGCTCACAGAGTGACTTGACCATCTCAATAGGCTTTTGCTTTAATAGGGACCCTCAGATTTATATTTCTCTTCATTTCTTCATGAGTGTCCCCAGGGCTTGAGAGAGAGAGCTTGTAATGTGGCCTTATGACTGAGGCACATAAAAAAGTCACCCACCCCAAAACACCTGGGCATAGAGTGCAGTGGACTGCCTGGACAACTGGATGAACCAGGATCAGGGAAGATTTCCACTTGTGTGGGAAAGAGCCTCTCACAACCAGAGGAAAGGCAGAGCCTGGGAATATTGGATACTGGTACCTTCTCTGTGCCAAGCAAGGAGCCCACTGATCTGCATCCATGCCCTCATTTAATATTCACTACTCTGTGAGGGATATGTATTAGTCCCAGTTCACAGATCAGAAAACCAAGGCCAGGGAGAATGAGAAAGTTGGCCAGTTCTCATGGCCGGGACCAGCTGGGACCAGGAGTAAATCCTCAGGCTGTCTGCCGCTACAGCATGTGCTCTTCCCACTAAACCTCTGTGTTTCTTTCCCTGTCCAACATAAGCTACTTCAGTGGTGATAAGCTCCTTGTCCCTGGAAGCTTTCCCAGCAAAGGGTAAATGCCCATCTCTCAGGGCAGGTTTCTTATGTGAATCCCAGACCAGATGTCTCCGAAGGTCTTTATTCTCTTCCAAAGCTCAGTTTTTGAGACTGACAATTCACTTCTAAGGCTTTAGAGAGATAGCATCCATATCCATGTGGAGATCCAGTAGCCAGCTTTTATAAATGAAAAATTTAATTACACAATTAATTCACGATTGCATTTTAAGAAAATTCAAATGCCATAGCAACCCCACACTTCATTCATTTAAAGTCCCTGTTTCTATCCTCCACCATGAATAATCATTTTGCCATGTGCCTATCCAAGTATTTCCTGGGCAGTAATACCAAGGCTTAAGTATATAAGGAAATACATAGTTTCATTTTTTTTCATAGAAATTGTATAACTTTTTACATGTGGCTCAGCAACTTGATTTTTTAAAAAACTATATGTAAAGCATCATAGAATGTGGTGTTTAAAATCATGGTCCCTGGAATCAGAGTGCCGAGTTTAAATCCCAACTTCATTACGTTATGTGATTTGGGCAACTACTCAAACCTCTGTGTCTTAGTTTCCTGGTCAGTAAGATGGGTTTAATAATAGCACGTATCTCTTAGGTTCACTGTGAGGTTTAAATGAGATATCATAGAAAGTACTGAAAAAGTATGCCTGACACTTGTAAGTTACTAAGTCACTACCAGGAGATCTTTCCATGTCATGACACGTACCAATTTTTGTACATGCCCTGTGGTATTCCATGGTACGAATGTATATTACAGCTTAATTACCCATTCTCCTCTTATGTCCACTCATTCAACTTCTAGTTTTTCAAGATGATGAACAGTGCTGCAGAGACTTCATCACTATGTATATGTCACTATGCTACTATGAATACATATGCAATATTTTTTTCTAGGATGGATCCCCTGAACTGGAATTTCTGGAGAGGAAAGTATGCACATTCTAATTAGAAAAGATCTGCCAGAATGCCCTCCCAAAACATGGTGCCAATTCATGTTCCTGCCAAAACTATATGAGGCTGTTTCCCCACACTGCTGCCAACACTGGGGATTCTCAGTCATTTAATTTTTTTCCATCAGATGGGCAGACACTGGATCTCACTATTGTTTAGCTCGTATCTCTCTGATTGCTGCCAATGCTGAGGATCTTTTCATACTCTTAATGGCCAGTTGGATTTCTTAGTCTGTGAATCATCTATTCATATCCTTTGTCAATTTTTTTTCTATTTAGATGTCTCTTTCTTATCGATGTGGGCATTTCTTCAGCTTCTAAATTGCTCTTTAGTTATGTCCATTCTGCTTTTTTCGGTTCCTCTACTGAAATTTTTCTTTTTTAATTTAAATGGTCATGCTATTCATTTTCACCCCCCCCCTTCTCCCCCAACTCAAATATAATAGCTCATTCTTGTTTCATGGATGGCTTATTCTGCTGAGAAAGTTAATTCACATCTCTTAAAGGCTCCTTATGTTTGTTTTATAAACTTGTTATTTTCTTGGGAATCAGTTCTATTATTGAGCCTGGCATCTTTCTTCTATAGTTATGCTTGTCTTTAAACATTTCTAAATTGGGGGCTATGAGATGATAGTCCAACTTTAAATTTCCTGATTATCCACGAGTGCTTTCAGTTTCTCTTTCCAGTCTCTTCATGCTGTAAGGGTTGGAGTTAACAGTGAGTAGTTCATCTTTTGGGCATGGTAGTATCTGAACTTTTGGGGTCTCCTTGGCTTCCCCAGGAGCTATGTGCTTCCCCAATCTGTTCAAAATCCCCTACTTGACTTCAGCACACACCAGGGGTTCTAGATTAGTCCCCAAGTTATTATTGGATCCTCCTATACATGTTTCACCACACTAGGAACTCAACTCTACTTGAGTTGACCACAGCTTAGAAGGTTTTAAGAAAATGATCCTGGGCCCCAACTCAGATCAATTAAATTAGGATACAGAGGATCATTGTCATTTAGATGGGTGTCCCCCAAATGCTCATGTGTGAGACAACACAAGAATGTTCAGAGGAGAAATGACTAGATTGTGAGACTTGTGAACTAATAATGGATTAATCCACCTATATGGACTAATTGAGTGGTAACTGTAGGCAGGTAGCCCCTGTCCTACATTGACACCTATGACAATCTCATGTGGTATATCTCTTGGTTTTCAAAGATCCTTCAGCGTTTTTATTCTGTTGATGGGTTTCTCTTATTTTCCAATACTTTAAAGACTTATTTCTTTTTTAAAGCAGATTACCCCTGCCTCATTATTTATAGAAATTTGAGTGAAGAAGGCATATGCATAGTCTTTGTCTTTCTGTCTCAAACAAGACTCTAGTGAATGTTTATATCACTTTCTTGATTTTAAGTAAATGCCCCTCCTCTTTTTTTTTTTTTTTTTACCTTTCAGGAGGAGATTATCACTGTTTCAGGGGGAGAATTGCTACAGGAACCCTGTGGACAGAGGGACAGCCCACCAGACTACCACCTATTATTTGAATGATTATTTTTTTCCTTATTATAGTTAAATCCCTTTGGGTACCCTCTTTCTGAACTCAGTGCAAGAACTTCCCAACTCAAATCCCAGTGGCTTTCTAGAAGATCTACCACTATCCAGAGGATCAAGTACATCAGTATGTCTCAAGAGATATGAAATGTGTGCATCTGTGCTATGGGTCCCATCCCAATGCTCAGGACAGAAATTGCTAATAGCTGCTGCAACTGTTTCATGGAGAATTTAGCTGTGACCTCAGAAGATTCACCCTATTTGTCATGGCTACTCTAAACTAAGCTCCTAGAATGTATGGATCATGTTTTAATAATCCAAAATATTCTAGTGCCGAACCTGGACTTTAACATGTGGTGTGATAAGCATTCAATAAATGTCGGTTGAACAAACACACTTCTGAAAGTTTTTCAACACTAATAAGCAATGGTTTCTAGTAAGTTATTTCCTGCTTCTCACTCTTTATAAAGCCATGGAGATAAGAGAAGAAAGATTGTAAAGGATTTCTATGGAGGATGCTATAGATGGAGGGGATGATTTCTGTAGATGCCACTTTGCTTATGGAGTTCATTACCCTCTTTGATATTATCACTGGAATTACCTAAGGCTCCTGAGCCCTGGCTTCCAGGACAGGTGATGGATTCTGTGCTGCCTTCCTTATTTAACCTCTTCTTTGGTCACCCTCCCCTGTTTTTGAATCGTATATATCTTGACTGAAGTTTGGCAGTACTGAAGTGATGATTTCATGTATTCCTACATATGTGCCCAAGACCTGGTATGCAAGAAATATTTTTAGATATCTGACAAGGCTTTTGCACTTTAGAATGTTCTCTGTATGCAGGCTACTGAAATGACTAGCGTTGTCTTCATTGTTCTTGTGTTGATTCTAGTGTCTACTTAATCTGAATATGTTTAACAAGAAGACTCTCCCAATAACTCCTCATTTATGCTCGGTGATGGTGTGATGGTGTCTATTTGTGCATAAGCATTTATGACCACATACACAGAGACAGCAGATTAGGATAATAATCTAGAGTTAAGAAGACCTGGGTCCAAATCCTTATCCCTGGAACTTACTTGCATGATAATGCTTGCTGCAGTATTATTAGCTCGGTGAGCATAAAAAGGTGAATGGATTCCGGGAACATCAGGGAACTGGTTTACCTTACCTGATGAGTGTGTCAAACATCTCTTATGCTCCACTCATTTCTTGCCTCACCTGCTTCCCAGATCCTTGGCCACTTGTTTCCCCCACAGCCACCATCACTGGAACCAGTTTTGTGTGAGCTCTCCTTTTCTTTACTACGTGGATCAGCCTCACTTGAGCATCAGCTTATGGTGCATGGCCCCATGTGGTACTACGGCTGCTGTTATGGGTTGGATGTGAGGTATCCCCCAAAGGCTCATGTGAGAGACAATACAGGAAGGTTCAGAGTTGAAATTATTGGGTTATGAGAGTTTTAACCCAATCAGTGAATTAATACCCCTGGTGGGATTAACTGAGTGGTAACTGGAGGGAGGCAAGGTGTGACTGGAGGAGGTAGGTCATTGGGGGTGTGACTTTGGGGTATGTATTTGTATTTGGTATGTGGAGTCCATCTCTGCTTCCTGATCAACATATGAGCTGCTTCCCTTGGTCACACTCTTTCACCATGATGTTCAGCCTCACCTTGAGCCTTAAGGAATGGAGCTGGCTGCTATGGACTGAGACCTCTGAAACTGTGAACCTCCAAATAAACTTTTTCTCCTCTAAAGTTTTTCTTGTCAGGTCTTTTAGTCACAGCAGTGAGAAAGCTGACTGAAACAGCTGCTCACCTCCTGTTGCTGCCAAGGCATACCATAGGAGAGCTGGGGGTTAGTGCCCACGCAGTGAACCTTAGCTCATTGGTTGATCAGTTCTTCTTACTTCTTCCTCCTGGAGGGGCTGTCCTGAGAGCCAGCTCTTCATTTGGCCTCTATAGTTCTGCAAGATGGAGAAGTCAGCCATGAGGAAATTAAGCAGTGACCAGGTGAGTGCGACACCCTCTGTTTGTTCTTGCTCTTCCTCTGTCTTAGCTCCTCTTCATCCTGCTCCTCTGGGATGGTTTTCCTGGATTAAGCAGCAGCACAGAAACTTGCCACAGGCTTTTCCTTTTGGGGAACCCTTGAAAAGCACCCATTGTAGCAAGGTATTTAATAATATCAGTTTTGCAACTCAGTTCTCTAACTTCCCCAGCCTTCCTGTCTCGTTGGGTATATACAATCAAGTGATAGAAGGAACCCTGCTTTCTGAATTCTAAGGCACTTTAATTTATAATCAAGTACTATCAAAATTACTTTGTTTCTATCAGAACTTTGCAGAACCAAGTTTTTGTTCGGGCTCTGCTAGGTACCAATTACGTGAGTTTGTTCAAGTCTTTTGACCTCACTAAACCTCTGTATAACAGGGGAGAGGATTTTCTATATGGTATCCATTTGGTAGTTTTGGAAAATTAGTTAAATGACAATATGGAAGCTCCATGCAAATGAAAGCTTCATACTGAGCAGTGATGTCTCAGGAGAGATGACGTGATGATTTTCACTGTGTTGGAAGAAACTTCCAGCAGCATCTTTGAAAGCAGACCAAGATGGGTTGAGAACCCAAATCTCCAGGCTGCTGTACCTGTCACTGCCTAATTAATATGAGAGAGACAACAGCTGAGTTTTCCATCCCTAACACATTTATTTCATTTTATTTGGGGCCAGCACTTTCTGCATGTCTCATATATTTTAGGTTTTACCTGGCTTTAAAATAAATTCCTTGTAAGTTGTCCTGCAAATGAAATTACTGTCTGGAAAACTGCAATTTCATCTTGAGAGTTTTATTATGCTAATAAATGTCAGGATTCTCAAATAAAGGAATTGCCTCCCCCCCCTTTTTTTTTCCCTGAGCCCTACAAATATAATGAAAAACAGCCAGTCAGCTACAAGACTCAGCAGAGGGAAAATTTACAACCTGTAACTAGAAAGAGAAGTTGTAAAAAACACAATGCAACTTAATGGAAGATAAATTTCAGGGAATGGGAGGGCAACTTGGGGTGCAGATCCAGGGAGGTCTCTGCATGGCAGATATTCTTAGGGAATGGCAAGGGGTTTATGGGCCAAAAGGGGGCTACTGACAGAGAAGACCCTAAAAAGGAAACGTGGGCATGAAGACTTGGGACCTGGGGTAGTTTGTTCCTTTTTATCACCTTGATCCTCTCCTTATCCTCAGGACTAACTTGTGATGACAGGTAAGTTTCTCCATCCTTGGGCCATAGTTTCTTATTTGAGATGAATAAACATGGCTGGTTTCAGAGGGTAGCTATGAAAATAATGTGAGATTTTATAATAATAATGACAGGCATTGTTTTAAGCTATGTGTGTATATGTGTGAGTTTGTGTATCTGTGTGAATTCTCCAGACCATGCTTGAGGGAGACAGTACTCTCCTTTCCATCTTGCACATGGGGAAACTGAGCAACAGAGAGGCTCAGAACTTTTCCAGGGTCACTCCTCTTGGAAAAGCACAGACATTGACTATAGCCTGGCTTTTGGAATGGTATAAGCCTTAGGCCAGTGCTTTCCAAACTGGAATGTGTGAACCAGACACAGAGTGATATTAAAAATGCAGGTTCTTCTTCAGAGGATCTGGGATCAGGTTTGAGGTTCTGTGTTTCTAACAGATTCTGGGTTCTGCTGCCATGACTGGACTGTGGGCCACACTTTGAGGAACCAGCTTTGAGAGCAGGGATCAGCAAATTATAGTACAGGTCAAATTTGGCCTGCAAATTGTGTTTCTACAGCCTGAGAGATTAAGAATGGTTTTTATATTTTTAAATAGCTGAAAAAAATTAAAAAGAAGAATAATATTTTATGATCTGTGAAAATGATATTAAGCTCACATTTCAGTGTCATCTATAAAGTTTTAGTGGAATATAGCCATACTCATTTGTTTACATATTGTCTTTGGCTCTGTTTGACTCACAAGAGTTAAAGCATTTATTATCTAGCTTTTTATAGAAAAAGTCTGCTGACCCCTGCTCTAAATTGTAGTACATCTGTTAGGAATTATTTTGTCTCCTTCCTCTGCTTTATCTAAGTATACCCTTAGTGTTACATTTTTTTCATCCACTGTGGTAAAATACCTGAGAGAATCAACTTAAAAGGAAGAAAGGTTAGTTTTGGCTCATGGTATCAGAAGTTTCAGTCCATGGTCACTTGACCCTGTTTAGGCCTGTGGTGACACAGTACCTCATGGTGGAGGAAACCTGTTTACCTGTTAGCATCCAAGAAGCAAAGAGAGGGGCCAGAAGGGGCCAGGGTCCTGCAGTCCCCTTCAAGGGCATGACCACCATGATCTGACTTCCTTTTACTAGCCCCCCCCCCTTTAAAGGTCCTACCATTTCTCAATAGCACCAAAGGCAGAAGATCAAGCAATTAACACATGGGCCCTTTTTTTAAAAAATAAATTTGTTCTAATTAGTTATACATGATAGCAGAATGCATTTTGATTCATTGTACACAAATGGCACACAACTTTTCATTTCTCCAGTTGTACATGATGTACAGTTGTACAACATGTGCAGTCATACATGTACCTAGGGTAATGATGTTCATCTCATTCCATCATCTTTCCTACCCCCATGCCCCCTCCCTTTCCCTCCCTCCCCTTTGCCCAATCAAAATTCCTCCATTCTCCCCACACCTCACCCATCCCCCATTATGGGTCAGCATCCACTTATCAGAGACACCATTCAAAAACAAAAAGCCTTTGTTTTTTGGAATTGACTTACTTCTCTTAGCATGATATTCTCCAATTCCATCCATTTAGCTGCAAATGCCTAATTTTGTTCTCTTTTAATGCTGAGTAATATTCCATTGTGCATAGGTACCACAGTTTCTTTATCCATTAATCTGTTGGAGCGTATCTAGATTGGTTCTACAGTTTAGATATTGTGAATTTAGCTATTATGAACACTGATGTGGCTGTGTCACTATAGAATGCTGATTTTAGGTCCTTTGGGTATCGATCAAGAAGTGGGATATCTGGGTCAAATGGTGGTTCCAGTCCAAGTTTTCTAAGGAATCTCCATACTGCTTTCCATAGTGGTTGCAACAATTTGCAGTCCCACCAGCAATGTATGAGTGTACCTTTTTCCCCACATCCTCACCAACACGTATTATTGCTTGTATTCTTGATAATTGCCATTCTGACTGGAGTGAGATGAAATCTTAGAGTAGTTTTGATTTGCATTTCTCTAATTAATAGGGACATTAAACATTTTTTCTTATATTTGTTGATTGACTATATATCTTCTGAGAAGTATCTGTTCAGTTCCTTAGCCCATTTATTGATTGGGTTATTTACTTTTTTGGTGTTAAGTTTTTTGAGT